TCCTAGTACAGAAAATATAGACTTCGACCATGATTTCACTTCTCATAACTCACTCATCAGTGGTAGCTCCTCCATCACAATGATTTTAGTTGGATTTATGCAACCTTGAGAGACTTCCAATTCTCCTATCATTCCATCAAGGCAATCTCCTTTCTTGTACACAATTCCTGGTAACAGTTCTGTCAGGAGTGTATCTATACTTAATTAAGAATAGTGAAAATTATGTGCTTGGAAATATAAATAAATTACATGTTCCTTTCATAGGTGCTGGTCTTTGATTATTTGTCAAAAAGAACCAAAAACACTTGGTTGTCAAGGCATGGAATAGTTTTAAAATGCCAAATGGTTTGTTTGGTTGATTTGTCGTTGGCTACAGGCAGCAACAGCCTGGTCCTCTCCCACAGGTAGGCAAGAGATGTGATGCAAGTTTTGCAGGAAGCATGGCATGCTGGTCAGAGGGTGATTTCTCTCAAAGCCCCAAAACCACCTCCTCCCTCCTCTCCTACAAACTCCAGAACTCTGCATGCTTTATGGCCAGAAGTAAGTAGCTTGAGCCTGCAGCACTAAGCATTTAAGCCCACTCAGATAGAGCTATATACTTTTATTGAATGATCACCGCTGTCTAAAACGACGAGGGAATTGTTTGCCGTGTAAGCCAGTCCGATAGGGTAAGAAAGCCCGTGGCTAATTAGAGGATTAAAGACGGGAAATTCCTCAGGTTTCCCTAAGCATATGACAGCATGGCTACAGACATCTGTTACTATAACACGACCTTCTTTGTCAAAGGCCACAGCAGTAGCGTATATTCTGGAGGGGAAAACGAGGTTCAGACCGAAGCTGTCCATCTGGCCGATGAGATCCATCTGCGCGCTGAATATCTTCACGCGGGTGCTGCCCTTGCTCGGTCCTCGAGCTTTCAGGTGCTCTATTACCACGACAGCGCCCGAGGTCTGGCAGACTGCAACCCCTCTGGGGCTGACAAGCCGGGACCGGATCATCTGACACTTCTTTAATTCCCCGCTTTGGAAGTCGGCCGCCAAGCGGTAGAGCGCGCCTGCCTCCGAGTCGGTCACGATTACTTCGTTCATGGGGGTGGCATCCAGGCCCCAGGGCAAACAGAAGCCTTCTCGGACAGCCAGAACCCCTCTTCCCTCAAAATCGAAGGCCTTCACGGAGCAGTCCCCGCCGTCGGTGACCACCACGTGCCCGTCCGACGTGACCGTCACATCGATCGGATACTTGATGTCTTTGCCCGCGTCCCCCCGCTCCCCGAACCGCCGCAGGCAGACCCCGCTCTGCCCGAAGACGTGGATCCTCTTCTTGCCGTCGTGTGCCACCGCCAGGCGGCCGGACCAGGGGCAGACCGCCACCCCGGTGGGGTTCACCAGCGACCCCCAGCCCCCCAGGCACAGGCAAAGCCGCAGCCCGAGCCCCGCGGGGGCCGCCGCCCCTCCGCCGCTCCTGCCCAGGGCCGAGGCGAGGCCGCCGCCGGCGGGGCCCAAGAGCTCCAGCAGCTGCAGCAGCGGGCGGCAGTCGCTGGTCTCGGCGGGGCCGCAGAGCCGCCGGCAGAAGGGACACTCCAGCCTCTGGCGCTCGGCGCCGGGCAGGGCCCCCACGCAGCCCCGGCAGAGGACGTGCCCGCAGGGCAGGTTGAGCGGCCGCCGCTGCCCGTCGGGGCCGTACGGCTCGAAGCACACCCGGCACTCCAACAGGCTCAGCTCCGCCTCGTCGTCCGCCGCCATCCCCGCCTGAGGAGTGCGATCGGAGCGCCCGCAGCGGCCCCCGATCCCCCGGGCCCAGCGGGGCGGGCGCTGAGGGCGGCTGAGGCGGCCGCGCGCCCCCTGCGGGCCAGCGCGGGCGGAGCAGGGCCCGGGCCGCCCTCAGGACGGAGCCGCCCCAGCTCCCGAACATCCACCAGTGTCCGTATTGCCGCCGGAACATTCGAACACCCACCAGAATGTTCAACTGCCCGCCAGAATATTCATATATCCGTCAGATTCTTACTGACATCCAGTTACCAAGTTACCGCACTGCTACTAGCTCTCTTCATGCCTCTATCGGAGTAAGGAATTAAGCCGCAATTCCACAGAATCATGGAATAGTTTTGATTGGAAGGGACCTTGATGATTATCTAGTTCCAAATCCCCTCCCATGGGCACGGATGACCAGGACAGACCAAGTTGCTCAGAGCCCCATCCAACCTGGCCTTGAACACTTCCAGGGATGGGGCATCCACAGCTTCTCTGGGCAACCTGTTCCAGTCTCAACACCCTTGCACTAAGGAATTCCTTCTTATATATCACCTAAACCTACCCTCTGTCAGATTTCCCCTTGTCCTGTCACTACATGCCCTTGTAAAAAGTCTATCTCCAGTTCTCAGGCAGGCCCTTCAGGTACTGGAAGGCTGCTCTAAGGTGTCTCCACAGCCTCCTCCTGGCTGAACAATCCCAGCTCTCTCAGCCTGTCTTCATAGGAGATGCACTCCATCCCTCTGAGCACCTTGATTTAATTGCATTTTCCTGCTGTTCTGGCAAAATTTAGAAAATATTTACACTCATCACTAGTAGACACATTTCTCAGACAGGCATGTATACACATTTTTGTAAGGCATATGGACTGCATGTGCTTCTTCTGCTAGGTGTATTTACTGGGTATTTTCAGAGTAATTGCAGGGTACACACAGATCTTACACATCCTAAAATGGCTGTTTTGGCACATGGCATTGCTCTTGCCAGGGTGTTGCATGCCTGGGAGTCCTGTGCAGGACACCACAGAGCATGTGGCAGCCTCGTGCCAAGCGGCCAGCCTTTTGTGGCTATCACGTATCTGGAAATCTGAGATAAACTTTGGGAGCTCTCATGTTGCATCTGGAAAAAACTTGAAAGGAAGGAGATGCTTTAACCTGGTAGCTGCAGTTCTGGCCAGGAGTGAAAACAAAACCAGCAGCTCCTAGCTTGCACTGGCCCACCAGCTACATCCCTTCTTCTCTCTGTCAACCCAACCTTAAACACGAGTATCTACAAGCAGTGCTGAGTGTTCAGTGAGCTGTGGGTGCGGGGACTGCTGTGCTAAAATCAGCAGAGCCATTTGCAGCTCTAGGACTATGGCACTCTAAAAAGCTCCATGGCTTTTACTCACCTTCTATTCTTGATAAACTATGACACACTATATTGCAATCATACCTTTCCTTTCAATATAAGCTGCAAAGGGGAGAAGTTGCTGTGCTCTGTCACCCTCAAAGCAGAGAAGATTTTCCTCATATTCAGATGGAACTTTCTGTGTTTCAGTTTGTGCCTTTTGCTCCTTTTCCTGTCCCTGGGCACCACTAAAAAGTCTAGTCCCATCCTCTTGTCAACTGCCCTAAACATATTTGTAAGAATTGATGGTCCCTTCCCAGTTACCTCCCCTCCAGGATAAACAATCCTAGCTCTCTCAGCTTTTCCTTTTAAGCAAGATGCTTCAGTCCCCCAGCCATCTTTATAGTCCTCTGCTGGACCTACTCCATGTCGAGGTCTCTCTTGTACTAAGGAGCCCAGAACTGGACACAGCACTCCAGATGTGGCCTCACCAGGGCTGAGTAGAAAGGCAGGATCACCTCCCACTACCTGCTGACCACACTCTTCCTAATGCACCCCAGGATACCACCGGCCTTTTTGGCCACAAGGGTACACTTCTGACTGACTTGTTGACCACCAGAACTCCCGGGTCCTTCTCCACAGAGCTGCTTTCCAGCAGGTCAGCCCCCAACCTGTGCTGGTGCCCTGGGTTTTTCTTCCTCAGGTGCAGGACCCTGCATTTGCCTTCTTTGAACTTCACTAGGTTCATCTCTGCCTGGCTCCTGTGTCTGTCCAGGTCTTGCAGCTTGGCAGCACAGCACTTTGGTGTGTCAGGTCACTCCCCCTAGTTTTGTATCATCATCAAACTTACTGCAGGTACACTCTGTCCCTTCATTCAGGTCACTGATTAATAAGGTGAACAAGACTGGCCCCAGTACTGACCCCTGGGAACACTGCTTGCTAAAGCCCTCCAACTTAGCCTGATCACAACACTGAGCTTTGTCACCCAGCCAGTTCTCAATCTACCTCACTGTCCACTAACCCAGCCCATTTCCCTTGGTGAATCTATGTTGACTACTCCTGACAACCTTATTTTCCTCCACCTGCTTAGAGATGACATCCAGGGTGGGTTATTCCAAGGATGAAGGTGAGATTTACTAGCCTATAGTTTCCTTGGTCCTCCTTCTCGTACTTTTTCAAGACTGGAATGACACTGTTTTTCCTCCAGTTCTCAGGCATCCCTCCCATACTCTGTGACCTTTCAGAAATGATGGAGAATGGTTTAGCAATAACATCTGCAGCTCTCTTGGCAATCTTTGAACCCTCTTACCCAAGTCCTGTTGCTTTGCTTGCCCATAGCTGTGCTCTCAAATGAGAGAAGCACACTTGTGAGTGACTGCTAGGACATTTTCCACCCACACTCTCCCCTTTACTGTCATCCAACCTACTTCCCTCCAGCCTTTCTTGCTGGATGGTCATTTCCACTTGGCAGCTGCTGCCTTGCCTTGGCCACTCACTGCCAGCTCTTCACTTGACATATATTCACAGGGATGGAGAGAACAAACTTGCAGCAGCTTCCCACCTCTCACTGCCCAGCCTGGTGCAAGGCCAGTGCCCCAGAAAAGAGTGTTTGAACTGCAGCTGCCACGCTCCCAGGGCTGCCAGCTGACGAGGCCAAGTTGCAGAGTGCCAGGCAGACAATGTCGACTAGCAACGGCTGAAAAGAAACAGGAGCATTTCCTTCTCACAGATCTCGTTTGAATTGATATGGCAGAAAAAGGTATATTTGGTAATGGCTGTTTGTGCATGGAGTTTAAGAAAAGCTGTTAACATCTCAAGGCAGTAAAGGCAGCTGTGTAGGAGCTGACTTGGTAAGCAAAATGGACAAAACCCCTGCTTTAAGAACGCCCCATTTAAAAATGTCAGTTATAAGTAAAAGCAAGGTGGGAGATAAGTTATTTTAATAAGTTTTAATCAAGCTACAAACTTTAGTAGATACAGCACCTCCAGAAAATAATCTAGTCCCCATTGTCTGTGCTTCTCCGAGAAGTCATCAACTTTTTCAAGACACCTAATTTCACAGCAGTTGCCTGAAAAGGAGGTAAGAATAACAAATTAGTGAATAATTAGTCAATGAAAAATGCAAACTGTACAGGAAAAAAAAAAAAAATCTTATCCACAGATTTCCCCACAGTGCCTAACACAGTGCCATAAATGCACTGGGGAAAACTTAATTGCTCTCTTTTGTGCTGAGATGCAAATGTCTATGCCAATGACTCACTGCACACAAACACTGCCAGTCTCAGAAAGCTGTAAATTTAAAAGTGAGATATTACAGCACATCAGGAGGAACTTCTAAAATTAAACTCCTGACATAGTTCCAAATTTCGTTATTTTGGTGGATTTGATTTGTACATTTTTAGCATTTTCTTTGAGTGCCATGTTACTTTTCTTCTTTGTCACAAAAGTACAGTAGAAACTGTAGCACTGGTAGGACTTGTATTAAAACCAGGGCAACTAGTTGATGAAGGTGCAGACAAAGACAAATTGGTCAAACAGGACTCTAAGACTGCAGCTACAGGATTACTGAGTGCAGTATGAATCCTGGGAGAATAAAAAGGTACCAAATGGAGACAAGAAACTGTTTGTCTCTTGGGTTTTCTTCATATCTTTTGAAGAACTGAGAATTTTCAATGACAGCAAAATCCCTGTGGATAAATGATATTTATTTTTCCTAGTATTTTTCCATGACTCCAGCCTTCAGATAAGAAGCAAGTGACTGTATCATTTGTCACAGGGCAAGGCAGAGGCATCTTTATGTGTTTTGGAAAAAAAATTTTACTCACCAAATAAACTTTTAATTTCAGATTCAGGAACATAAAATGGTGGGCCTGAAATAAAATGGGTGAAGCTAATCAGAGAAGAGACATGGAAAGAAGACAAAATTTACACTGTAGTAGGAGAGCAACCCCTTCACTCATAGCACCTGGCCTGTAACTGGGCTCTACAGTGTAGCACCATCAGCAGGAACCAGAAAACATGTCCAGGAACTGCTGGCACCCTGGTGGGCCAGAGAGCTTCAGGTGTTGCTGCTGCTTTATCTCCAGCTGCAGCAGGGAATGTGATGTGGATATGACCACTCTCAGTGTGCTGTGGGATTCCAGTCGACAATCTCTTTATACTACAGTGGCACGATTAAGGCTAAGAGCTGAACAGTGTCAGAGGGTAAGCAATGAAATAAACTGTTGTTGCTTGTGATAGCAAGACCTATTTTTTGGGGGAATAATTATGCTGAAGGGCTCAAAAGCAGAAAAAGATCTCTTTATTTTGTGAGTTAATATTAACTAAAAGATCTCCCACTTCAGCATATAATATAAAAACTATAAAAGGAAAAATACCTTATGATTTTACAGAATTTCACCTCTTCCAAGTGCATTCAGAGCAGGGTAGTGGCTGAGAGAGAGGCACAAGATGGGAAACACATTGGGTTGCAAATACTGGATAAACAGCATGAAGCTGATGTTCTTGGGCGTGTTTCAAGCTCCCGAGGCCAGACAGGATGTTACTAAGTACTCCGACTTCCAGCCACACTGGAAGCACATTGTAGCACATTGTAGCAGCCACACTTACAGTTTCATTGTTAATATACCATGGCTGTCCTCAACTTACCCTCAGCATGTCTCAATGCTATAGAAAACACAAATTTAGTCCCAAGCTTGGTCATTAGCTCAACTTTTTAACACACAGTTATACTGGTGTCACCAGCTAACAAAGCTAGCAGATAAAAATCTTGGGGAAGATACTAATACATCTACTATATCTTTATACAATTTGTATTAGAGCAAAATCACAACATGAACAGTACCAAGTTCTCACCTTTGTGTTTGTTTGGATCGTATGAAACCGTAACGAGGAGATAAGAAGAGCTTTTCTCCACTAAGCTGATCATCAAACTGGCATAGCTAAAAGGAAAAAAATATACTTTATTATTTTTGTAAAGCATTCAAGCATAGCATTCAAAATATTCAACAAAACACATTTCTATGCAGACAGAATTTGAACTGAACTGTACAGAGACTAAACAAAACTTAGTTTAAATTTCAGAAGCATAAACTTCCTGCTACACATGAAAAATATAAAATAAAAGTTATATTTATTCCTCATAAACAAGAACTTATCTTTTTTTGCACATTCAACTCAAGATTAATAGACAAAGTATTTATCTGCCATAGTCTAGAATACAGTACACAATGCAGTACTCATCTTTTAAAATTATTGTGAATTGAAGATTCTGTATCTAACTAAAAAATCCCAGGAGCAGGTTCAAATTAAATTTGGGCTACCTATAGGCAAGAACAAAAATTTAGTAGAGTAATCTCTAATCAAGGAGAGTTAGGGGAAAAAGAACAAAGACAGAAGAAGTAGATGTGGTGAGAAGGAAATAATAGAATTCAGATGAGACTTGCAGCTCTGCTTCTGCTGGGTTGGAACAAACCACATATTTTCCCACCAAGAGGCAGGGTGGCTTCCTGAAGGAAGAGTACAGCACTCTGCAACTGCAGCAGATGCTTGTGGTAGAGAAGAACATGTGTAGGTCGGTCCTTTAAATGAAAAAGGACTCATTAACAAGTGACAGGTTAAAAAATTTGTCACTGATACATCAGAGAAAAGACAGTAACAATGCAATTTACTAACCTTTGTCTGTCACATGGATTCACAGCTACAAGAGCTCCTCTGTCCCAAACCCCATCAAACTTGCCAACTATCGAGCTATAAGGAAATAAGGAAAAGGCTTAAAAACAGTAAAAAGGGATCTTGATCTTCTTTCAGACGCTTTTGTGAGGACACAAGGATTCTGCAGCTAGTGATGCAGATTCCTCACCACCTTTTTGTTATGGTGCAATATTTTCATAATCCAAACCAACAGGATCTGGAACTCAAGAAACCCTCCTGGTTCTTTGTCCTGCTGCGAAAGCAAAGAAGTGTGGGAATTGGTCAGTGCTTCCCCATCATTAGGGGCTGCTGAGACACAGCAGGGAGGAAGGAATATAGTTTTAGTACATTTGGGCTACAAGTCTGTGTGTTCAGTAACCACATCCTCCTGTCTAACATGCACTCAGCACATCAACAGTTCTTGACCACCTTCTAAAACCCATGCATGATTTCATATGAAGGCTAAGGAAGGTGCCTTGTGGCTTTACTTGACTTTATCATTGACTCAGCACATTCAGTAACTTTAGACATCTGAATTCCCAGCTACATGCTCAGGACAGTTAGCTCCAACTTGCAGTTTGTTTGATGTTATAAAAACTAAGTTACACTGCTGCTTGCCTCAGTGTAGCTCTGCTGCAGACACTAGTTCAGCTCCAGGATATGCTGGCAGATGGCTTCAGTGGCCACCCAAAGCCTGCAAGTGAGCAAGACTATCAAGAATTGCCTTTATTAATGGGTGATAAGAACTGCCAGAGTGATGCAAAAGACAAGAATATCTGGGGATAAGAAAGAGCCTCGGTTTTGGCAGTTGTTAAAATAGGAGGTTAGACAGTAAGGTAGTAATAAAGTAAATGGCGTAGTTTTAAAGAAAGTTTGAATAAGTTTACTTAGAAAAATGTGGCATAGAATTGTGCAATATCCTTCTGCCTACTGGGCAGAGTCCAATTGCATCACCTCTGTCTTCATTTCTGTACAGGTTTTGGCCAGTAGTTTTCATAGTAGCTTGCATGGGGCTGTGTTGGATTTGGGTTTGCAATCAAGTTGATAACACACCGACAATTTAGTTACTGCAGAGCAGTACTTACACAGCACCAACACCTTTTCTGTTCCTCACACCTGGACACCAGTACGCTGGAGAGCACCAGAATGAACAAGATAGTGGGTGGGGACACAGCAGGCAGAGCTGACCCCAACCTAGCAAAGGGATATTCCAGACCATCTGGCTCCATTCTCAGAAATAAAACTGGATAAAACTGAGTGGGAGGTTGGTGGATGGGGGCACTGCTACATGGCTGGCTAGGCATCAGTTGCTTGGTTTGTTGTGGGCAACTGCTTTCATTTACACCACTTGTCTTTCTTGGGTTTTATTTTCCTCTCTGTTGTTTTTTATTTTGTTGTTGTTTTTTATTTTTTATGCCTTTTTTTTTCCTTAAAAATTTTTGAAATTTCTTTTTAATTATTAAACTGTTTTCATCTCCACACACACTTCTTTCTCACTTTTACTCTTTTGATTGTCCCCCATCATCTCGTAATTGGGAGTGGGCAAGCAGCTGTGTGGTGCTTAGTTCCATCAACTTAGCCAGAGTTAAACCATGAGAACTTCTCTCTGCCCACTGCTACTTTCATTGCAATGGCACTGCTTAAGTCTCTGGCATCTAACCTACAAGCTGATCTGTATTTCCCATTCTACTGTGATGAGACATGATAACGCTTTCAAGTGCTGACTTCTTTTAAAGTTTGCCAAGTCTAAGTATCTAATTTAAATAACCAGCCTCATAACTGAAAGGAGATTTTTAAAGAGACAGTTAAGCAATGGACATGCAGGGTACAAAGGAGCATTTAGTGGGGCAGGTGAACAAACTTGATCTTCTGAGGCTTGGAGGCAGTTCTCCTCTGCATAGCTGAGTCTGCTGGGTGACCTCAGGCAAACCACTGAGGTTTTCTGCTCTTAGTTTTTCTTTCCAACCTTAATCTGGTCTAACTGGAATGGCAGCAGTGGTTCCATACATGCATTTCATGTACTTTACTTCCCAGCGATTTCATCAAGGCCTACAGACATCCCAGGCTGCAGACAGACTCATGCCTTGTCCCAGTGCTGGTCTCCCGGCTGCCCAGATCTCAGGACCTGCTGAGTGTCTGGGTGCTCCTTGTTCCTCTGCACATCCAGTTTCCTTCACAACACAATGAAGCCATGAGGAAAAGGTAAAAAAAGGCGCACAAAAAGCTGTCTTTCATCCTGATGTGGAGTCAGGATGAAGCTAAGGTATGAGGAAGCACTTTCCTTGGCTTTACCTTTCACTGTATCACACTGCTATGTGTTTATACAGCACTCAGCATGGGTTAGGTACTACTACATCTAACAAAATTAACATGAAAATCAGAAATTCACATATCTGCAGAAAACCCACTGGATTTAAGAGTAAACTTGTGAATTTCTATCTCTGCATATGTTTAGTAGTTTCAGTAAATGCAATTTTTGATTTTCTTTTGAAGTCTTGCAGCCATAATTGTATAAGGACTACAGTAATTGTGTAATATAGCTGTTTTTTTTATAGCTGTTATTAAACATAGCTGTTTAATATGCCCCAGAATTCCCAGAAAGAGCAGTAATTCCTGTTACTCTTTAACTAGCAAGAGTCTTTGAAATGTCCCATTCTGACAAAGGTCAGGAACACATCTGAGTTTTATTCTAATGAATGCTAGGCTAATGGAGATGAAAGGGACCTATTAGTCAGCCAGCCTCAGCAAGAGAGAAATAAGTTTAATTTCCATAATTACTGGGTAATTAATCAAATTGTCTGTATACAGAAACCAGAAGTGTGTGTGCATTTTTTAAGTCACAGGTCTTTGCTGACTGATGTTGGGAATACAGTTCATTCTGCATCCAGAATGTCTATCTGCCATTTTATTTTGTGATGACAAACTATGTAATAGATCCAGTGATATGCACTGAAATTGTCACTAATTACCTAACTTTGTTTTTTTCAAAGTATTATTCCACCCTCTTGTGATAGAAGTTACAGGTTTTACCACAATCCCTGGGCAACCTGTCAACTCACAGCAAGAAAGATTTAAAGGGATCTACAGTGTAGCAACTAGCTACACTGGAGGGACAAGGCGGGTAGGAAACTGGGCAGTATCTACAAAATCACATTCATACACACCATCTGTTTGACGCTTTGTAAGACGAGCTACATATATACACTGTTCAAACCAACTGGAGTCAGCTGCAGCAGCAGAAGTCCCAGTCATGGCCTGCTGTCTGAAAGACTCTGGACTCTAGTAATGAATAGTCCTTTTTCCAGTGTTTTGGCAGATTGAAAAAAATAAAAGATCATATAGTAAGCACTGTGTTCCATTGTCCTGAACTACCTATTGCACCTCTATGTACTTGTTCTGGAAAGCCCACCAAAGAAAATTTTAAGACTTTTCCTCCTTACTGAAGAGGTATGGAACAAATTCTTGTGCCTGACAGTCACAAGACAGTCTTCTTTGTAAGAAGAGCAAACAAACACAAAAAACCTCACCAAAACCTTTTAATCTAGGGAAAATTCACATCTGAGTAAGAACTGCAAGAGGAAGGAACTATTGTGCTAAGACACCTCTGCATATATTCTCTTTACTTTTACTACTTACTCTGAGTAAGGGACTGTGCTAAAGTTTTGCCTCATAGAATTCATCAGTAATGTTAAAGATTATTTGGTTTTACTGTAAAAGCAAAAATGTTTTTTGGTAACTTTCACAGAATGGCTTAGAATAAGAAGCCCATTTAAAGATAATTAGTTATCATCCTTAATGACTAGCAATGGAATTAGACTTCTGTTGGAGATTGGCCATTCAAATTTCTCATACAATTTAATACGAGTTTGCTTGAGAGGACCTGACAAATCTTTGCCTGATCCAAATAAAATAATATCATTGGATAGTATTAATACATATTCGATTATGGAGAATTGTAAAACATGATGAGTATTCCTACCTGGACAAATCATAAATACTGCAGCAGTAGAGGGAAATGTTGCCAGAGGTACTCTACAATAAAAGCAAAGGAAACAATTCTTATCAGCTAACTGTCTTTAAATACACACTCTTAAGTATATATTTCTACTTCACATCTTAAAATATACTCATACAGTATTAAAAATGAAATTTTAAAATACATTCATGTGTAATGGGGAAAAACACTGAGAAATATTTTTAGTTTTAGTTCAGTGAGGTAACTTTTCTGATCCCCTCAAGAGAGGTTCTAATCTATCAAGGCATGCAACTGTCCAGTTTTAAAATACATTCCTTCTACATTCAGGTGCTTCATTGTCATAAGAAGGCCAAAATAGTAAGTTTAGAAGAACAACTTCTCAATCCAAAAATACAACTCAGAGCTTCCTTTAAGACCTCTTCAGGAGAGGTGAATGATTACCAGTAAAACTTGCACAAAAGCAGAATGACTTGCTTGCTCACTTATGCCAGCATTGCATGATTAACCACAGCAGACCATTTGACATCACAGGAAACATACCTGGAACATTTTTGCTCCTGAAATCTCAGGGACTGGCTCCTCACAATAAGGCAGACTGTGTTCTGAAAAAAATTCCTTCACCGCTTGCTCGCTGACTTCCACACCAACAACACTGTGCCCCAGGTCTGCCAGCCTGCACACAAGAGAGGGAGGGCCCAGGTTTATGTGAGGCCCACAGGCTGGGCAAAATATGTACCTCCCATGTATCATTTATTTTTTAGGGAAAGCCTAGTTTTATGATGCCCTGATATGTCTAATTCTGACTTCCTGAAGTGTTCACATTGAACACCTCCCTTCCCTGATCTGAGCTTAAATTAGCACCACTCAGCATAGAGTTGACAAGGATTTACATGCTTTATTTAGATTTAATGAATTATTCATTTATTCCTACTAACTTGATGAAAACAGAGGTGATCACACTGAGAAACTATCCATTTCAGAAAGGTGCTGTGCTCTGAACTGAGGTGGCTGAGGCATACTGTCCACCCAGCTGCCTCTCTGGCTTGGCAGGAAGGGGCAGTGAAGGAGGTGTGGTATCCTCCATGCTGCTGCAGTTCAGCAAAATACCAACGTGTGTCAGAGCCCACAGACAGACTAGAAAGTAGTCACTGTGGTAAAACCTGATAGCTGGGTTACTTGAAGATGCAGTGCAAGTTTTTCTCCAAGAAAAAACACTGGCTTATATAGGCCCTAATTTTAAATACAGCACTCCCTCCCCCATCCCTCCCCCCCAGAAAAAGGTAAAAAGTAAAATTAGCAAAATAAGAAGGATAAAAAAAGAGAAGGTTACATTTAACCCAAATCACTTAAATTTCCAGAGTGGCACGCAACATGGTCTCTTGAAAATGTTGTCTGACACAACTGACCTCATTGCGGGCAATTTAAGCTGACATTGCTACAAAAAGCAGCAGTGGTAAGGGCATAGCTTCAGTCACTCCATCCATCTAAATTCAGCATTCCCCAAGCTGAACTTGGGACGGTCAGGAGGACTTTCAGGTCAGACTTCATCCATTCAATTTACGCTATTATACGAAACACCAGCTTCCTCCTCCCTTCAGCTTCCAGTGACGCTGCTTTCCTAGCAGTGGAAATGTGGCACATTTCCACCAGCCAATATAAGGCTGGGAATTCCCCCTCTCCCTCCCTCCCCACATCAAGTAAGATTTTTGCTCTTATTATCTATGTTTTACCATTTCATCTCTACTGCTTTACCACAAAGTGGGAAAAATATCCTCAGTCCACTCCTGCCATTTAAAAGAACATCCAGGTACTTTTGGAGGAGCCTGCAGAAGAACAGACACGTTTCACTTAACTCTGTGAGTATTTGTGCTGGCACATGAAAAGCCAAGTGCTACACACTATGCCAGGTAGCACAAAAACTCCACGATGGCACATATGTTATTAGCTCAACCTACTTTGTGCCATTAGAAATAAAAGCATAAAATAAAAGTATTCATCTTCCATTTACACAGCAAGAAAGTAAATTTCATGTCATTCAGAAATTAACACATTTCTGTTTGTCCTATTTTTTCTTTGTCTTTACAAGTAAACAATCCAACCAACCCACCTCTAAGAGGATCATAACAGAGATTTTAAACAGAATAATGAAACTTCTGCATCAAGCGAATCACTTCTACAGGTCTTGAAAGACTATATAATCAAGTTTGCTCTCTTAGGTCCTTGTCTTTTACTGCATGGCAGTGCTCTGATGCCCTCTGCACATTGTTTCAAGCCCCAGTTACACACCATGAACAACAGTGCAAAGCTTCTCCATCAGCAAATTTAAGATTTTCTAGTCAAACTATCCAAACTCTAAGGTTTAAAACCTGATTCAAGAGTAAAAGTTCTAAATTCATATCAATACTTTCTTTTATCTGCCTTTTAACAATTGTAGGTGACAAAAATATCTATATTTATTTTTGTTTCAAGTTGTGCCCATGTAAAATTACTTGCTTTTTCCAAATGTTCCATTTTCAACTAAGAGTTTCTCAAATGAGCCAAGCCACTCATCTCATGGCATTACTTAAAACAGCTTAGGCAGAAGAGTGAAGTCACGTACGGATGCCCTTGTTCCTTGTGAAATCCGATGTCACCCATTTCCCATCTTTGTAGCCATTCCTCCTCTGTCACCACTCTCTCTTTCTGAGACCCAACATCAGAGCCTTCCAGGAGCCCGGATGCATCCGCTGAGTGGTCCATGTCCCCAGGGAGTGCTTGTAGCTGTGAAAAAAGAGAGAAGAATTACCCCCACCTAATGCACAGTTCGGAACTGGCTCTTACTTCCTCGAACCGGACAAAAATATCGTAGCTCCCAAGGGACCACAATTTGGTGACAATCGCAAGGTAGCTGTACCGAACCCGACAGAGCAACCAGCATATTCTCGCTGCCGATAGCTTCGTTTCCCGGAGCGGCGGAACGCGCCTGTCCAGCACTGCGGGACCGCCGGTGGCCTCCCTTTTCGCACCCATGCGGAAGCCCCCCTACCCCGGTAACGAAGGAGGGAGAGGCCGACATTTCTGTCCCGTGAAACCGGCGGGCAGCAGGCGATGGCGAGCGCCTGCTCGGGGCCGGGGGACCCGTTGGGTGACCCGTGTCCGCTGAGCACCGCCCGGCGCCCCCCGCCCGGCGCCCCCCGCCCGCGCAGCGGCAGCCGCGGTCCCTGCGCGGCCGCGGGTCCCGCCAGGGCGGCGGGGCCGGGGCGGTGCCTCCCCGCCCTCCCCCTCGCTACGCACCGCGGAGAGCGGAAGCGGCGGCAGGAGGAGGCGGGCTGAGGGTGCACGGCACCGGGGAGAAGGAGGATGGCGGTGGGGATGGCGGCGGTGGTGAGTGGCTCCCTCCCTCAGCTGCAGCGCCCACCGCGGGGCCGCTTGTTCCTCCCCGGAGTGGCGGGGCAGGTGCCAGCGCTGCCCCCGTCCTCACCTCCCCGCTTCACTCTTCCTTCCCCCCTTCTCTTTCTCACTCCCTCCCTTCCTTCCCCCTTCTCCACCCTTTTTTCCCCGCTGCAGCTCTAACAGGAGGCGGCGCGGACACGCGTGAATGTGGTCTCCGGCCCCCGAGTGACCCGGCCCCGAGGTGAGTGCCCGGCGCCGAGCGCAGCGCCTGCCCCGCCGCCGCCCGGCACCGCCCCCGCCCGGCCCCGGGGCTGCCCCTCGGGACCCCCGCCAGCTGTCACAGCCGGGCCGGCGGGGCTGGGCGCCGCCGCCGCCGCTGCTGCTGCTGCTGCTGCTGCTTTACTCGGGCTGAGTTTTAGAGGTGTGTGCACTCCCCGTGTTAATCAGGCTGCTCTCGCTTCCTCTCTGTCTCTGACGGTGTGTCTGTCTGTGTGGTTTCTTAATTAATTTTCTCTTCCCCAAAGACAAACTTGCTTCCAACCGTGCAGGTAAACCCCACTAAGCTTTCCAATATAGGCCACGCACTACAGACGGATGAAACGTTATCGAATGTGACAGTGCATTACATATCTCTCTCCTTTTAAAGGGCTTATTTTCTCAGCCAGTAAGATGTCTACAGGATAGGGTGCAAAGTCATGTAAAGCTTAGCGGAGTAAGCTATGTTTGTTTGTTTGTTCTATAAAAATTTGTGGTTTTTTGGGAGGGTGTTTTTTGGTTTTATCAGGGGAAGTGGGGAGCAGGTATCCTACAACTGCTCTTTTTATCTCTTTCTCCCCACCTCCCTCTTACCCCTATTGAAGGTGTAAGAGCAAAAATATTTCTGCAAATTCTGTACAACTGACCTATATCTTTCAACATGGGCAGAGTTCCATCTGATTCTACAGAATCACAGACATATTTTTTACCCCTTCAGTAGAAGGGGTAGGAGCAAAATAGATTCAGAAATCTCTGAATCTGAAATATTTTTACCAGACTTCCTAGGGATTGGTAACTAACACTTTTTCTACTCCTGACGTAAACAATACAAAATTTGCATGTTCTTTTACCTTCTTGGATAAAAGGGCCCCACAGCAGCAGCAGACTGATCACCTGATGGTCACCAAAATGAGTCACCTGGTGCCTTGCTCAGGGCTCCTTGCTCAGTTGAAAGCCTCTGACTGTAAGGACCATGGCATGCCAGAATGATTATTTGCCATCAGAAGCTAAGGTGACACAGAGAGATACTGTTGTGCCACTGATACGTACATAAAGAAAGCCTAGGGGAAAAAAGCCGCCATTTTCTGGGTGTTCACAGCAGTTTAGGGAAATCTCATGTAAATGAAACTGGTTGGTTTTCTTTACTCTCCAATCTCATCCACACCCATACAGTGGTAAGTTGCAGTGAAGTGATGCTAATTTTTTTTTCTATTTTTTTCTTTTTTTTTTTTTTTTTTTAGGAAACAGAGTTTAACTTAATGATCTTTTTCCTACCTCTGGCTAGTTATAATTGGAGGGGACACATACAAGAAACAAAGTTTAATTTTGTATTGGGTTGTTTGAACTAATTTTTCACTTACGTAGATATCCTCATGTGATTTCTCTTCCTCTCACAAATAATTTCTTCTCTCTTGAGAGGAGAGTGAAACACCAGTTTACTTGACTTGGATCAGCTTAATATAAAATTTTGTAAAAATTCCACTCTCCTCCTGTTACCTTGACTTTTAATGGAATTTCTGAATGAAGATACTGCTGCCTTGTCCATCACTGACAGCTTGAATAAGGAGGTTGCATCCAGAAATAGGGAGAATTGAGAAATCTCATATATATATATATATATATATATATATATATATATATATATAAACCCTCCCAAAAACATAATTACAAACTGATCCCTATTAGAACAAGATAACATTTATGATGCAGTGCTGTAGTACAAGGAATATATTTCTACTTCTTTTCTGTATGTTGTAGAGCACTTTAGATTTACTTCTTCCTCTAGGCTGTCTTTGTGCTTTATCCCCTGTGAAAATAATGCCTTTGATAATACCATTTTAAATATGCTTTCATATTTCTGCATCATACTTTTTCACACTCTATGCTTTCCAGTTTACTGGAACTGTGGTTCATTCTATGCTCCTACCAATGCCGTCAAAGACAGCTACAGAGCGCTCTCATGCCGTAAATCTTTTATTTTGTCCTATAGAATACTTAACAACAAACTTTGCAATATTCCAATCATTTACAGGTGCAATATAATGGCAGTCTAGACTTCAAATTCTGCTGTCTTTTCATAGGTGGTTGTGCAAGTCTTGGAACTGATTGTTCATCTGGCATTAACCGTCTCTTCAGTACAGTGTTTGGAAAAGTGCTTTACAGTGCAAATCTCTTGCTGCCAATAAATCAGTAGTTAGCAGGATGAGTGTTACTCTGAGTGGTATTTGAATGCTTGCATCAGCACTGAGCTGATGTCTGTTCACTTTGCCAACCCAAATTCCAGTCCAGGTCTTCACGTAATGCAAATCAGATTACTGAAATCCAGGATATGCTGGTCTGGAACAGCCTGTCAAGATGTACTCAGGGATCTAATCTTAACTACGAATTTAGTTTAAAATAGTCATATTGTTCCATTCCCGTAATGCCTCATTCCCATTTTCCCCTCAAATTAACAGTCAAGCTGGACAGATTCTTACTTAGGTAGCTCTGTGAAAAGTAGTATTGTGAGTGTCTGTGATTAGCTCTGCAAAGTCAAGCAATTTAAATTAATTAACTATTGCCTACCTTTTTTCAGCTCTAACAATACAATGTCAACGGGAAGGGTACGAACGAAGAAAAAGGCATGTTCTTCAGATCAGTCTCCGGACAACCTTCCTGTGAGGAGTTCTGGAAGACAGGTATTTATAATAATTTAAAAACACATGGGTTTGTACTTTGCTATTTTTTATTTTCTATTGACATTTGTAAAGAAAGTGGGCTTCCTTGTGGGTAAGCTGGGTCTTAGAGTACTGAGGCCCAGGGAAGGAGACTGAGTTAATTCTGTGAATAAACAGATCAAGTGTCTCATTTTGCAAAAAGTATTCAGAAAAGATAAATACTCTATATAACCTGTAAGTACTTAATGCGTTAAAAATACAGTCACGGATTTCTGTACAGTCAGACAAAGCTGTCTGGCCCATCCAGGCAGAGGCCTAAAACAGGATAATACACAGTACCTTTGAGGCCCAGAAGAGATATTTGGTGTTTAGTTTCGTATCAAAAAAATGCCCTAAGCTTACCCTAATATTTTATTTGAGGCACAGATAGGATTGGCACTTGTAATAAATATCAGTAAGTATTATAAAAGAGGAGACTTTCCAAAGGAGAAATAAAATTAATGTATGAGGCTTGACTTGTTAACACATGATAGAGCTTAAAATACTATTTAAACTGTAAGCTTTGCTTATAATTTCTTCAGTGCCATCAATTAGACCAAGGCAAGACATTTTTAGATATAAATGATATTTCCAGTCTTACTGTGGGTTTGGGATTTTTTTCCGGTGGGTTTTTGTTTGGTTTTTTTTAAGTAGAAAAATCTGACCTAATTTGACAGCTGTTTCATGCTGCAACTATTTCACAATGGCTACAAAGATTTTCATTAGGATCATTTTAACTACAGAATGCCACTCACAAGCTGCAAGACTGAATGCTGCTTTGTGGAAGATGTATTTGTGTCATTTATGGTCACATTCCAGCTATTCTTTATTAGGTGAAGAAGAAAGCGGCTGAAGCAGCAGATGATGATGATGAAGCCTCAGAGAAGAAATACAGAAAGTGTGAAAAAGCTGGGTGCACTGCAACATGTCCCGTTTGCTTTGCCAGTGCAGCAGAAAGGTTTGTTGCTTTTTATTTGCATTTTTCATGGACTTTCTAAATCTGCAGCTGAAGTTTAAGATTCAAATTGTATTTTGAAAAATTCCTTCATATCTAAATGTAGAGGGAGAATTAAAAGATACTTCTAACAGGAATCTTAAGATGCCAGGAAAATGTCACAAGTTATTCCTGGTGTCAATAACTTTCTCCTGTGCAAGTTGCTAATTCAGATACAGAGTATCTTTGGGATATACTTATTTATGTTATTAATGATGTCCTCTGGAACATGCCTTGCTTCTGTGAGAGCATGTTAGTGTAATCTGAGAAAACTAAACTTGCTTTCGAGATGGAAAATGAAACCATCATTTACTGTAGAAAGTTGTTACCACTCTTTCACTGGAATGCTTTGCAGGCTGAGGTGAGATTCTAACCTTGAAATTTTACGTCTTAGGAGAGAGGTAAGTCATTCTTATCTGAACTGTTTGTTCTTGTTCACTTTCTCTGCACTTTCACAAGCGCTTTTGCATTCTGACCTTGGTGGTTTTGAATGCATAATATTGGCAAGGTATACCTATAACAGGCAACATGTTAGACCTCATTATGAAGCAGGCACACTGTAGTTATGTAGCGCTCCTCCCTCCCTGATAATTGAGGCAAACTTTCCTTCTTTATAGCACTGAAAAATAAATATAACTAATTACGTGCTTCATTTAGTTATATCCATGGATTATTCTTTGGTGGTAGGAAGTCAATGTATT